GGGACCGCGGACGGCGCGCGGGGGGCGGGCGAGCCCAGGCACAACCGGCGAGGAGGGGGCGTGCCGGGGCCCACTGCCGGTTCCCAGTTAGAACCTGGAAACCAGGAGGTGTCCCACAGGTCATCTGGGGGGTGGACCTGTTGTTCAGAACGGGAAACTGAGGCCCAAGGAAGGGCAAAGGCGAGCCAAAGCCATCAGTTAAGCTTCAGAAAAGAGGTGGGCTCGGGAGGAAGAACTTGGGAGTCCAGGCTGGTACCAAGACGTCCTTGAACTCGTCCACCATGGCGGGGCCACCACACTGCCTCTGGGCTGGAAGAAAATCTGCCTTTTAGTTAACGAAGGTGAAAACCCTCCCTGTCAGAAAACAGGTGTGTAGCCCCCCAAAGCCACACAGCCATCTCCTGGCTTACTCTATGTAGAGTTCACAGAAGGGGCTGTGTGAACTGACGACTGCCTGATTGCCCTGGGAGCAGCCCGTCACCTCTATCTACCCTGCCACTCCCCTGCCCCCAGCAGACACTCGCATTCCAGCTCATCACAGCCTTGTGCAGCTATTACTAGTATTACAGCTATCTCACAGATAACAAAGGAAGGCTCTGGAGGCGGGGCAGGCCTTGAACCCAGGACCCCAAGCAGCCAGCTGCCCCCCACGGGGCCTCTTCCCACCTGGAGCCTTCGCCCATGCCTAACCCTCACAGCTGCCCAGGTTTCTGGCCCTGTCCACTTTGCAGGTGATTTGTTCTGTGGGCTTGGTCAAATCCCTCCAGCTCTCTGGACTTCACGAAGGCTGGGCTAGGCAGGCCCTCCTGTCTCTGAAAGACATCGATTCTACCACTTCCACCTCCAAGAAGTCTTCTGTGACGAACTCAGCCCCAGGATGACCCTTCCCTGCACAGCATGATGACACCACCACGTGGTGACAGCCTTGGAACTCCTTGGTGAAAATAGGTTCAAGGCCTGACCCTGTCTCCACAGCCTTCCTCTTCTTAGGTATAAAATGGCTGCGATAATAATAATAGCACCTCAGAAAAATGTTATTCAGAGTTATCAAGGCTCTGTCCCAGAGATATGGCTCAAGGGTCTCGCCCAGTTGTCCATCTGTCCACCAACATACCCCCACCCATGAGTACCCATTTTTGCACACATACCCCCCCACTTGCTCACCTATCCATTTAGCCGTCATCCAGCCATCCATTCATTCATTCATCGAACATCTATTCAGCACATTCCTTGTGCCGTGAGTCAAAGTATAGATCAAATCCTTCCCTGACCTGGAGGGGCTCCCTGGCTGATTGGGGAGAACAGAAAGTGACAACCCGGTATGATATGTACTATAATTGGGGAGCCCAAGGCAGTGGTCAGTGGGAGCCAAAGAGAAGACAGTGAGAACTGGGGACAGAAAGCCTGGGAAGGTGTCTTGGGGGAGGTGCCATTGGAACTGGCCTTGAGGGATGAGAGGGGTTTCACCAGGTACCAAGAGAGGAGAAGCAGCTGTGGCTGGAGGGCACAGACCCCTGGAGGTTGGGGGTATCCTTGCGTGATGGACAAGAGTTAGACTTGAACGCTTAGAAATCACCTGGGGTAAGGACGTGCTCCTGGAAGTTGAGGCCTTGGCTTATACCTGAGTCATGACCATCCCCCTGCCTACCACCTGACCCCTTGGCTAGAGTAAAACTGTGCACATGGAGCAAAAGCTTGTTGCTTGTTAAAAGAACAATAAGAGCTACATGCATTGAGCGCTTGCTGTCTGCCAAGCACTCTGTGTATATCCTCACTTCATCCCCCAGCAACTGTGTGGGGTAATCCCTGTGTTTACAGTGGAAGAAACCAAGGTTTAGAGAGGTGAGGGCACAAAGCCGGGACTCAGAACTAGGTTTCTTTTGGAGCTTATGCTCCTGACACCTTGCCCAGGCACTTCCAGCTCTCCACTTGAAGTAGGCAGCCCCTGGTAATTCTGTTTGATTCAGTAAACACTTCCAGGTCACTCCCTAGTCTCTATGGGGAGTCAGCACTGGAGCAGGTCTGCCCTCAGGAAGCTCTCTGTCATCCTGGGCAGCCAGATCTGGCCCCAGAGGCTGAGTGTGAGGCCAGCTCTAAGAAAGGCCAAGATAAAGATAATGTCACACCTGTAGGGGAGGGGGATGCAGAGCAGACGTTTGGAAAAGTAGCAATTTCAGAAAGCAGAGACATGAAAGGTAGGAGGGAGAGGGGAGCACGAACCCCATGGACCTCTCACCCAGTCCAGGGCTAGAGGGCCACAAACTTTCTGGAATGTATGTTTCATGAGGACTGCTCCTGGACAGGGCCCAGCTCATAATAGGTGCTCAGTTAATACTCACTCAATAAGGGATTGCTTTTCCCCAGACCCAGCTGCTTGCCTTAAGGATCTATTTGAGGGGCTGGAAACGCAGTTCCCAAGCAAGACTTCTTCTAGAAAGAAAAGTGTGGGGGGGGTGGGCATCAAGACTGGAGGAATACCTAATAGGAGCCTCTGAGGATCAGAGGAGTCCTAGCCTCAGCTCATCCTTCAACTTGCCACGTGACTTTGGGCAAGTCACCTCACCCTCTGAGTGTCAGGCACCTCCACTGAGAAAGGATACAAGGGTAAGAGATGACTCTGTGGGGTCTTATTGTCTCGAAAGTGACAGTATTATGATTTTTTTCTTAACTCTCTCACTTACAGAAACTCATCCAAGAATGTTTAAAGCAGTTGGCAACCAAGAAGCAGCAGCAAGTTGGTAACATAACCCAGATAGAAGATGCTGCCGAGAAGCTCAAGGCAAGTGGACATTTCTTCCATATTCCACTGGAGATGCCCACACGTCCCCTCCGGCACAAGGTCCACCCAGTATGGGGCTGCAGAAAAATAAAAACCAATCTCAGTCAGGTTTGGTGAGGTCTGGGGCTTCTAGAATTTAAGGGCCCCTCTTTGAGAAAAAGAACACAAAAGTACAGACAAAAATAGGTGGAGGCCATGAAGGGGCCATGCAAGTGACAGACCCTAAGCTCCTGTTTCATTAGCTTGGTGGCAAATCTAACTCTGCCCAGCACCCCAGCCCTGCCCCCAACGCCTCACAAAATGGAGGAACGGTCTTTTCTCCTGCCAGCTCCAAGGCCTTCCTCTGCATCAGCTGCCCATTCTCTTGGGGGACTAGTCCTCCGTCCCCCGCAATCCAGATCACCTAAAACAAATCAAAATGCAGCCTAAAGAATATGCACATATTTCTTTAGGTTTCATCGCCATGTTGAAAGAAAGTAGATAGGTACCAATATATTCCATTCATATGTGCTTTCTTCAGGTTTCCCCTTTCAGAATGATGCTTATTTAATTGGACTCTATTGTGGGGTTTGAATGGGAAGTTGAGGCTGAGTATTATTCTTGTGAATAGCCATTTTGACTGTGAAAATGTTGTTGCATTTTGAGGAGACTTTTGTGTGAACTCAGCCGATCCCTTCCCCTCTCAGCCTTAGCCGCTTCCTCCTGCAGTGAGGGCTGGGGTGGGATGCTGTCCTGGGGTCTGTCCCACTGAGCTGTAGGAGCCCGGCTACCTACACAAGTTGAGCAGGGACATGGGCTCTGTCAGTGGGAGTCGCTGGCACCCAGTCTTGCTGAGGTCGGGCCCATCTGCCCAACATCCCTTATCTCTCAGCTGTCTACACACCCCAGTATGCTGGGGACATTGTGGTTCACACTTGTGGCCCTAGCTTAATTATTAATAGTGTCCCTCATGTCCTCAAGAGTTGGACTCTGAGCTCAGGAGAGTAACTCAGTTCAATGGATTTGGGAAGTGAAAGTTGGCACACCAAAGGGATAGGGGGGAGTCCTTGAGCTGTTCTGCCTGAAGAACAGAGTCGACACAGTTCACTATCTGCAAATCTCGGAGCAGATAGGGTTTGGGGGCCTCCAAGGAAGAATTAGGACCAGTGTGGAGGGTCTAAGGGAAGGTCTGGAGCAGGTATCAGCCTAATTTAAGAAATGGTTTTCTTTCTTTAGAGCCCTCCCACAACTTCTTAACTTTTTACTTTGAAAATTATAGATTCACAGGAAGTTGCAAAGATATGCAGAGAAGTTTTGTGTACCTTCACCTGAGAAAATGCCTTTATGTTTCTCTTCTCCAATGCAGACCCTGGAGCGGGGAGTGGGAATTGGATGGGACAAGAGACGCGAGAAATGGAGACCAGACAGTATTCTGAT